CATTTTGTTTTCCAATATTTTTTTCATGTACATTTCTCAAAATGTAGTTTGAACTTGTTTCTTATTTCTCAGAGTATCTGGTAAAGTGTTAGACATTTAGCAGACATGTCAGAAATTCTTGAAGACTGATTTATTGATTAAGGGAAACAAGCTAATATTAGCTATAAACTGTTAACACACTTCTACATATACTATGTAATGTGGCTGGAATCTTCTATTTAAGAATGGTACCAAAGGTTTGCAGAAGTGGGATTTTTATAACTATACCAAGTTAATCAATTCTTCATGGGGAACCCTTTCTTTAATTCATAGCTTGCTCCAGAATTAGCACTGGTAAATGAGAAATATTTTACCTTTATAGATTAATGAATAATCATGACACAATGAAACTGATTTTCATCAGACAGCACATGAGAACCTGCCTATTTTGTGAGTCATCCTATCGTGCACCCATCTCTCAAAATATTTAAAAAATGCATACTTACTATTATTTTATGAATATTAACAGCTGAAGTTAAATTTCTCACTGCATAGTCCTCCTAAGTCTGGCTCAACAAGTAAAGTCTTATTGCTCAATAAACGCATGATAAAGCTCTTTGTCCAGTCTCAGTTTTAAACTAAAGAGAGACATATCAGCACAAACTCGGTCTCTCTTTCGTATCAGGAACACTGCCTTGTTTAATTGCCAACAGCCCCCATGTAGTAAGTAGTAAACATTTAAGCATGCACCATTTCATTTCTTAGGACACCTCTTGGAGTCGATGCAATAATTTATTACATCGAGTGCGTCTAATTCTCCTCTGATTTATGGAAGTGGTAATAATATCCCATTGCACAGAATGCTATGCTACGAGGAATCCAGATCCAGGCACTAAAATCTTTATGGTTTCCCCAGGAGGAGTTGGGGCGCAGGTGGTATTCTCATTACCACAGTGAGAAAGTGGAGGGGTTTGCCTGAGGTCTCCTGGAAAGCCAGTTATGCGAGGAGCAGAATCTGGGTCTCCCGATGCCCAGCACGCAATCACAGAAAGCACAGAACTCTCGGGAGACTTGCTGAAACCACGGGCATAGACAAGAAGAGGGGAAACGACCCCCAGGACGTTCATTACAGAATCCCCATAGCAACCTGGCACTGTTTCCCTCCGACTCCACATAAAGCACACTGAAGGGTATCAAGCAACATAAAATCCTAATGGCGCCCTTCATTAGGCGAGATCATCACTCCAACTCCCTGACCTCCCACAGTCCAAGCCAGCAGCCCCAAGTTCCTCTCTGTGGTGCCGAATCCTGAGAGCAAGGCGTAGCCACATGAACAATCGTTGGCTTACAAGGGACTATCAAGCCCTGATGATGATGAAATTTGATAGCAATAATGTCAAACTTTATATGACCATAATCCAAGTTTACAATGATACATTAAGCCATAATGCTACTATTTATATCGCCATAAGCTGAGTTATGGCGATATAAATAGTCATGCTAATGGCATTAACAGCAGCACTCAGTGGAATCACAGCTGTTGACTGCCACTTGTATGCTATTAGCATTGCTATTTATATCACCATAAACTTAGGTAGTCAAACTTGTTACACATGAATATACAAGGAAGCTGGATATCCACACTGTATGCCCAAATCTAGGCTGCGGTACTGGGGACTTTATGGCTGCGCCTCTCCTGTATGTGTTAAGGTCTATCTAGCTCTCCATTTAGTTCTGCTCTCATTGTGCGACGCTTCTTGAGGAGTTACAGAAGAGCAAGCCTGTCTCTTGCCATCCTCTGATTTTCTGAGAAACACTATTTGAAACTGATAAGAAAGTGCAAGCCACAGCTTCTGGGCCAACTTACTGTCTCCTTGGCAGCGCAGGGGACCCACGCTCAGCTTGGCTTCGGAGCCTTGCCGGTCAGTATCTCCAACTACCACTTGGCTTACTGGCAGGTGATCTTTGTAGGATAAGAAGCCAGCGTCCTTCCTCCTGAATCACAGGGAAGAACAGAAAAGGATGAGGAGGCTAAGTTAGAAACATGTCTTTTCTGATAACGGTTTAAATTGTCTAATAATTGACTGCATTCCTATTAAATGCTCAGAGGGTCACTAAGTGGAACCATGGTTAAAGGATTGTTCTCTGCCTTCCATCAATTGGTCACACAACATATTACTCAGAAGCAACTGTGACATCATTACCTTCAGGAACAGAGAACTGACACCCCAATTTCCAGAGAGTCACAACCAATATGTTGTATCCTATTTTAGCGTGGGAGTGGACTACCACACTGCTTGAGAAACACACACCAAACGCTGAGCACGCATGCAGTTTGCTGTTGTCAGGAATCAGAAGCTCCATGAAATCAACCTGATTTCTTGGATAATAAAGGAGACAAAACTGTTAAAAAACAAACAAACAAAAACATTTTGTCTCCTTGATTGCTTTGAAGTAGTTCCTTAAGAGGCTTTCGTCCCTGCTGTGCATCAGCTAAATAACGGGACATTTTTTGTTCCTTCCTCTTTTTTCATTTATTTCAACAACCAAGTCTATATGAAGTTTCCAACACAGGGTAGGTGCTTATCAAGTGTCTATTTCCATCTATAATGAAGAGTAAAGATTCAAGCCCAGTTTGGTTTTTCTCTTAGATTTGTTTTCCTGCTTCCCCTATATTTATCTTGTTTTGGGTCTTCCAAGTGTACCCTGTACCCACCCTCCATAAAAGAAGAGGAGCACAGAAATCCAGAAGAGGTTCTTGGGGATGGGCCCAATGTGAGTTGGGCACAGACTTCCCCTTAGGAAGAAATCTCTGCCCCTTCTTCCTCTTTTCATGCTGCTGTGGCTGAGAAATGCCCTCATTTGGGGCCAGATAGGTGGGACGCACTGACCATTATAAAGTCATTCCACAAACTTACCCTTTTGTATGATTTTTTTGCATGTGTACAGTCTGAATGTAAATAACAATTTTTGAAACTGTATATACAACTGATAACAAAACTGATTTTTGGAGGACAGTAGAACGAGAGAAAGACAGTTCAATAATCTTGTTAAAAATTTGTCTTTCGTATATCTTAGCAAACAGTTCAGGGAATTGAGGGGAACCAACTTGGAAGCCTGTCTTTAAAATGCTATGCTGTTAGGGTGAGTCACTTATCTCTCTGACCTTCTGGAATGTCAGTGAACACACATTCCCTCAGGTGTCAGGGCGCACAGAAAGCCAGAAAGGGGTCACAGAATTCAGCCAGTGGGCTCCAAACAAGTGTATTTTACACTCCCTTAGTTTTTTCATTGCCCTTGAGTTTCCAAAATAAAGTTTTTTTAAAAAAAATTGTTTATCAAGTGCAAACTAGGATCATGCAGAAAAGCACTATGATGCTCATTGACATTGTATGTACTAATGACTCAGCCTCAAGTATCTCAACAGAATCTTCTGCAAACCCAACTCCTTTTACTAGAATTTCTATCAATTAAAATCACATTAGAGAGGGAACAGAGAGTTTGCCATTAAACTTGACATGTAGTGTTTCTTAAAGTAGCAATAAATAGAAACACCCTTTCACATACTGGGATTTGACTACCCACTAGGAAGGAAGCATATTCCTGTGGAATTTCAGGCTGATACTCTCCCCAAGTTCATTATCACTTCAAATTACATGACTCTAAATCAGGAGTCTGAAAGCTAAGTGCTGACAATCATTCATCTTGTTGCCTGTTCTCTTATGGGCCAGGAGCCAAGAATGATTTTTTACATTTTAAAGGATTGAAGAAAAAATCAAAAGCAATATCATATTTTGTGTTGTGGGAAACTTACATGAAATTCAAAGTCAGTGTCCATAAATAAAGTTTTACTGAAATACAGCCATAATTTTTCTGACATATGTTCTATGGTGCTACCACACTATAATGGCAGAGTTGAGTAGTTGTGACAGAGACCATATGGCCTCTGATGCCTAAAATATTTATTATCTGGCCCTTCATAGAAAACATTTGCCAACTCCTGCTCCTAAGCATCAGTATCATTTTTCTTTGGGAATTTATTGAGCAAATACTCCACTGACCATCATGGTGGACTATCCCACAACTTGTCTCCAGATTGAGTGTTGGGATACAGAAGAGACATGGAAATATCTCTGAGGTGGGAAAAGAAAGGTTGAAGACAAAATTTATTTAATCTAATAGTGAAAGATAATTTAAAATTTATTAATAATTAATGTTTTGATTGGCTGCACTATATGTCAGGCTGCCATGTAAGAGACATGTATCAGTACTTGGCATTAACCATATATATATACATATAGCTTTGTAATATAACTTGAAGTTGTATTATATATACTTCTTTGTCCATTCATCAGTTGATGGACACAACTTGGGCTGTTTCCATAATTGGGCTGTTATAGATAATACTACTATAAACATCAGGGTATATGTATCCCTTTGAATTAGTGTTGTTCTTGTATTCTTTGGGTAAACACCTAGTATTGCAATTGCTGGATCATTGAGTAGTTTTATTTTTAACTTCATGAGGAACCTCCATACTGTTTTCCAGAGCGGCCTACACCAGTGCGCATTCCCACCAGCAGTGCGGATTGCCTTTCTCCACATCCTTGACAACACCTGTCATTTCTTGTGTTTTTGATTTTAGTCATTCTGACAGGTATGAGGTGATATCTCATTGTAGTTTTGAATTATATTTCCCTGATGACCAGTGATGTTAAGCATCTTTTCATGTGTCTGTTGGCCATCTTTCTATCTTCTTTGGAAAAATGTCTACATATATCTTTTGGCCATTTAAAAAAAGTTTTTTAAATATTTATTTTTGAGAGAAAGAGAGAGAAGCAGAGAGAGAGAGGGAGACACAGAATCCGAAGCAGGCTCTAGGTTCCAAGCTATCAGCATACAGTTCAATGTGGGGCTCGAACCCATGAACTGTGAGATCATGACCTGAGCTGAAGTTGGACCCTTAACTGACTGAGTCACCCGGGTGCCCCATCTTTTGCCCATTTTTAATTGGATTATTCATTTCTGGGGTGTTGAGTTTTGTAAGTTCTTTATGTATTTTGGATACCAACCCTTTATCAGATACATCATTTGCAAATATCTTCTCCTATTCCACAGGTTGACTTTTAGTTTTGTTGATTGTTTCCCTTGCTGGGCAGAAGCTTTTTATTTTGAGGCAGTGTCAATAAATTTATTTTTGCTTTTGTTTCTCTGGCCTCAGGAGACATAGCTAGAGAACAGTTGCTACGGCTGATGTCTAAGAGATTATTGCCTGTGTTCCCCTCTAGGGTACTTATGATTTCAGGTCTCACATTTAGGTTCTTAATCCATTTTAAACTTATTTTTGTGTGTAGTATAAGCAAGTGGTCCGGTTGCATTCTTCTGCATGTGGCTGTCCAGTTTTCCCAACACCATAATTTGAATAGATGGTTTTTTCCCCATTACATATTCTTGCCTCTTTTGTCAAAGATTAGTTGACCATATAGTTGTGGGCTCATTTCTGGGTTTTCTCTTCTGTTCTATTGATCTATGTCTATTTTTGTGCCAGTACCATACTGTTTTAATGACTATAGCTTTGTAATATAACTTTTTGATGCATCCAGATTTGCTTTCCTGTTTTAAGACTGCTTTGGCTATTCTGGGTCTTTTGTGGTTCCATACAAATTTTAGGATTTTTTTTTAGCTCTGTGAAAAATGCTGGTTATATTTTGATAGAAATTGCATTAAATGCATATATTGGTTTGGATATTTATAGACATTTTGACAATATTTGATCTAACCCATGAGCATGGAATATCTTTCCATTTCTTTGTGTCATCTTCAGTTTTCTTTCATCAGTGTTTTATAGTTTTCAGAGTATAGGTCTTTCACTTCTTTGGTTAGGTTTATTCCCAGGTATCTCACTGGTTTTGGTGCAATTGTAAATGGGATCGATTCCTTAATTTCTCTTTCTGCTGCTTCACTATTGGTGTATAGAAATGCACCAGATTGCTGTATGTTAATTTTGTATCCTGAGACTTAACTGAATTTGTTTGTGGGTTTTAACAGTATTTGGATGGAGTCTTTTGGGTTTTCTTTATAGCTTTATAGAGTATCATGTCATCTGCAAAGAGTGAGAGTTTTACATCTTCATTACTAATTTGGGTTCCTTTTATTTCTTTTTGTTGTGTGATTGCTGTGGCTAGGACTTCCAATACTATATTGAATAAAAGGGGTGAATGAACATCCCAATCTTGTTCTTGACTATGATGGAAAAGCTCTCAATTCTTCCCCACTAAGGATGATATTAGCAGATGGCAGAGGGACCCATCAATACACCTATAAGACTTCTATCTTAGTACCTGTAGGGAAATTATTTAGCAAACAAAACAAGCCTTTATTGAAAGTGATGATCTTTACAGATGGAGGGCAATCTAATTTAGGGAGATATTCAGTAACTATTTATCATGTTAGCAGAATCTAATTACATCTGGCCATAATATTCTCTTATGATTGTTTGTATTTCTGTGGCATTTGTTATTTGTCCTCTCTCATTTGTGATATTTTTTATTTGGGTAGTTTCTATTTTCTTTTTGGTAAGTCTGGAGAGATGTTTATCAATTTAATTGTCTTTTTTAAAAGAACCAGCTCCTGACTCCATTGATCTATTCTATTGGTATTTTTTTTTTAGTTTCTGTATCATTTCTTTCTGCTCTAATCTGTATTATTCCTTCCTTCAGCTGGCTTTAGGCTTCATTTGTTGTTCCTTCTCTAGCTCCTTTATGTGGAGGTTATTTTATTTGAGATTTCTCTTGCTTTTTAAGGTAGGCCTATATTGCTATAAACTTCCCTCTGAGGACCATTTTTGCTGCATCCCAAAGGTTATGAACCATTGTGTTTTCATTTTCATTTGTGTCCATGTATTTTTTAATTCTTCTTTTATTTTTTGGTTGACCCATTCATTGTTTAGTAGCTTGTTATTTAACCTCCATGTATTTGTGGTCTTTCCTAATTTC